AATTTTATGTCTTATAGGGTTTATACTGAGTACAATATTGTGTAACTAATAATTCAACTGTAAACCTGAAAATGTACAGCCAATTTTGTAAGAGATGCATCCTAGCTCAGAAAATTGTTATTGAGTATGTCAATGCTGATGTAATGAAATCCTTCTTCTAAGTATGTGGTTATTAAATAAATAATTTAAAAACTAAAAAAAAAAAAAGAATTTACGTGAAATATCTAACCAACATGAGTCTGGAGAGATGGGTCTGTGGTTAAGATCACTTACTGCTCTTCCAAAGGACCTGAGTTCAACTCCTAGCACCCGTGTCGGATGATTCACAATTATCTATAAGTCTAACCCAGTAGATCCTACACACACTTCTTGGCTCCACAGACACACACACACACACACACACACACACACACACACACACACTTGCAGACAGCCTGGGTAGGGTTGATACAGACAACCTCATTCAGAACCTGTATAAGGTTAAACGCCTGACAGAATAAACCACCTGTCATTGGGACTAGGCTTCGACTAATGTTGGTGGAGACATCTCTGCATGAATAGTATCTTATGAGCAAGCCTCTTGCTGACCTCCCTTCTCCAGCATGCATTCACTGACCTGGGAGACTCCAGAGTGAGGCTTCTCCTATCTTCCATGGCTCAAATCCATGCTCCAGCCTGAAGATCAATTCAGGTTTGGTCATGCAGTACCCTGTAAACAGAAAATGATAGAAGCCTGTGCCCAAATGGTAAGTCTGATATGAGATGCTGTGCTATGATGGCTAAATTAGAAACTTCAAAACATTTATTGTTGTGTGCAGGCATCTGTGTGCACACATATTTCTGTGCACACGAAAGCCACAGAACAACTTTGGGGAGTCAGTTCTCTTCTTCCCCCTTAATCTGGAATCTGGGGATTGAACTGAGGTCATGAAGCTTTGACCTGCTGGAACATATCCTGGCTCTCTAAATAACTTTTGTTATAGAGTGATTGCACTCGCACATCTTTCATTACCTGGAATGTGACCCTCAAGTGGCAATAACCTCCATGATGAATAATCCACCATGACGTTTCTACAAGTGAAGAATAAAGAAAAGGAGAGGGAAAAACCCCACAAAAGGAGGACACATGGGCTATCAGGACCAAGGGACCCGAGAGAGTGCTTAAAAAGTGAGGAAGCAGCTTTTCAAAGAGCTGAATTACTTAAATAAAACATTTAAAAGGGCAGGGGTAAAAAGGAAACGAGTCCAGCAGCTGAACTGATGAGACAAAGGAAAAAAATGTGAGCAAAGAGATGAGTTCTTTTTAAATAACCACTTATTAAAACATTGAAAGAAAAAAAAAAACAATTGATGGACTGTTATTAAGAAAGCAAACATGGGCCACAGTGATGGCACAGAGGATGAAAGTGATTTCTGATTGCTGCTCAAGGCTGACCAGCCGAGTTCTGATCCCTACTAAAAAGCCAGAGTGCAAGTACATGTCTTCAATCTCAACACTCCCACAGGGAAAGGAGAAGCAGAGATGAGAAAGACAAAAGACATCAGGCCAGTTACAAGGTAAGATCAGCAGAGACACAAAAACACCAAGATAGACCAATTTCCAGAGAAGGTGGAAGGCAAGGACCAGGTCTCACAACAGTCTGCTGACCACATATATGCAACAGTATGCCCACCACCACATAACACACACTGACAACATTTTTTAAAAGAAAGCAAAAATGCTCAATAAAGTAGACAAGAGTGTAACTTCACACAATGTGAATTATATGCAATAAATGAACAGTCTATCGCTTAGTGAATGCAGAAAGCATAGAATTACTTCACTAAAGATGGGAACAAGACCAGGATGCACTGGTTCATGCTCTTTCTCAGGACACTAGGAAGTCTGTGTATCATTCCATAGACAGGAGCTAAGGGAAGGAAACAAAGGACATCCAAAGCAGGAAGGGGAGTG